AAAGGTTATGTAATAAAATATTTTAAAATCAGGTCACATGACTCAGAATGGTGGTGCTTTTTGCTTAGGCTGGGAACAGTTGGGAATCAGGTCTGGAATACTCCTAACCAAGAAGTTGCCCAGGTATAGTAAGTTTTTCTCTACCGTTCACAAGTTTTTGCTGCTGCTTCCCTCTGGAAATGGGTTTTCTTTCTCTCTGCCTACCTCAGCTACCTGTTCTGAGGATCTCAATCTGTTTCATATTCCCACTTCTTAAGGGAAGGAGTTTTAAAAACATCTCTTAAAATAAGAGGAGCAAACCTATTCTCCTGCAAAGGAGGCAGAGACTTTCTTTCTCTCTCTTTTTTTCTTTGGTATCCCCATTGTTAAGCAAGAGCCTTTCTCTTTTATTCCTCCTGTTTCCCTAAGCTGCTCAGGGCTCTCTGAGTCTTGCCCTCTGATGGCAAGTCTTATATATAAACCTATTTTTGTCGCCCATCAAAACACATTCTCAGTAGACTGTGTGAAGGTGTGAAGGGCTGATAAGGACTTGATGCTTTATCTCCATAGACATGAAAGCCATGCCCTCTGCCTCTAGATAGGGTGATCTGATCTAGCCATCCCTTCTGCTGGACTCTGAGCTGCTGAGCCATAGGAGGTTCAAAGAAGCTCTACTGTTCTGTGCCCAGGAGGTAGCTTGCCAGCAGGAGCCCCCAGACACAGCCAAAGGGTGTTCACACAGATCTCTGCCAGTCTGGCTAGGGGAGGCCAGAGTCTCAGGTCAGTCAAGGCTGGGCTTCCCCCTTAGCTATGTCCACAGCTGCTCAAGCTGTACTCATCAGAGTGGACTTTGAAGCTCCTTTGTGAGCTCGAGCCGCTGACTGCCACTGTGGGAGCCTTGCCACCTCCAGCCCAAAGACGCTTCTGCCATAGGGGCCCCAGGTCCTGCTCTATCAGTTCTCTTTAGTGGGGGGCTAAGATTTGGGGCAAGCTAGCCTGAGGCAAGGAAGTGAAGGAAACATGCTGATTTCCTGTGCAGGGGCTCAGTCCCAGGGGAAGGGTCAGTGCTGCAAGGATTTTAACAGGTGAATTTTTTGGAAAAAGTCACTCTCTACCCCTCAGTATCCTTATCAACTTTGGTTTTATCCTTCTAGTCTTTATTATATGCTTGCTTTTACATAGTTGTAATAATATACACATATAATATTTTGTATCCTGCTTTTGACATTCAAAATTGTACATGTTATAAGCATATTTCCATATTGTTATATAGCTTCACAAAGTTGATTTGTAAAGCTGTGTGATTTGAAGGCTTCCATAGGGTGACTGTACCATAATTTTCATTCATCCCTTGTTGTTGGATTCTTGGTCGGGGGTTGTTTTGTTTTGTTGGTAGCTTTCAACTTTTTAATATAATTTCAGATTTACAGAAAAGTTGCAGGACTATCACAAAGAACTCCTGTATATCTTTTATCCAAATTTACCAAGTGTTTATAATCTATCCTATTTGCCTTATCTGTATTTCATGTTGTCTTAATCATTTAAGAGTAATTTGCAAGATACCCCATTATGCCCCAAAACGGTATGCATCTCCCTAAGAACATAACATTCTATTCTAAGAGAAGGAGAGAAATCTTTTAAGAATCTGTAAGTATTCTTTTAAGTAATATTATGAAAATCAGGAAGTTGAACAGTGATTTAATACTGTTATCTAACCGGTGGTTCATGTTTAAATGTTGTCAGCCTAATAATGTCCTTTGTGGCTATTCTTTTTCCTTGTGCAGGATCATGTGTTACATTTACTTGTAAATGTGTCTCTCTCAGTACTGCAGATTCCTCAGCCTTTCTTTGTCTTTCATTACCATGACATTTTTGAAGACTACAGGCTGTTTTGTTGAAGGTTCCTCAATTTGCATCTGTGTGATGGTTCCGCATGACTAGATTAGGGTTCTGCATTCTGGGCAGGAATATCACAGAAGCGATGCGTCCTCAGTGCAGCGTAATCAGCATATCATGTCAGTTTATTAATATTGTTAACTGTGTTCACTTGGTTGGGTTGATGTCTGCCAGATTTCATTTTAAATTTACAGCTTTCCCTTTGTAATTAACAAGTAATTTGTGGGGAGATATTTTGAGACCATATAAGTATTTTGTTTCTCATTCACTATTTAGTACAAGTTGATTAGTCTTGTCTGAGTTATTACTGTCATGATTGACCAACACGATTTCCTAACTAACTCCATAATGCCGTCTACATTTATTGGCTGGCATTCCATTTATAAAGAAAACATCCTTTCTCACCATTTATGTATCCACTTGTTTATCAGTATGGGTACAGGGATTCCTATTTTACTCAAAGTTGCAGGCCATTGCTTTGATTTTATCTTGGTTCTCAAATTGCCCCAGATTTATATCAGCCTCATATGTGTTTCTAGCTTGTCCCCATCATTTTTCAGCCCTTTCTTACCTTCTGGTATAACAAGATGTTCCAGGTTCATCTGGAATGTTCCCTGCCCCAGCCCTGTCTGCAGGAAGGATTTAACAACATGGAAAAGGAGGCAGACTGGAATCAGCCATTTCTCCAGGGAGTCTTGGTTCCTTATAATAGAGAATAGTATTTATTTTGATTTGATTTGATGGTTATTATTGAGATGGAGTCTTCCTCTTGTCACCCAGGCTGGACTGCAATGGCGCAATCTTGGCTCACTGCAACCTCCACCTACCGGGTTCAAGTGATTCTCCTGCCTCAGTCTCCCAAGTAGCTGGGATTATAGGCACCCACCACCACACCTGGTTAATTTTTGGTAGAGATGGGGGTTTCACCATGTTGGCCAAGCTGGTCTCGAACTCCTGACCTCAAGGGATCCACCAACCTCAGCCTCCCAAAGTGCTGGGATTACAGGCGTGAGCCACCACACCCGACCAGAGAATGGTATTTAGAAACCTAGATCTAGGTGCCAAATGTGCTTATTGTGACTGGAATGTCATTGCCTCTAGGCTCTCGCCAGACAGTTCAAAGAAATATGTAGCAGTTTATACTGTCTGTCTGGGAGTGTGAAGTAGGCACATCTAGGGACATGTCAAGTGGCTTGGTGTGGCTAAAGTCAGTGAGGACCATAGAGAAAAATGAGCAGGAGCCAGATCACAGGGTGCCTGATAGGACCTGGGAAGTGCATTCAACATCACCATGGCTGCTTCGTGATCTGGACACACCAGAAGGTGTGAGACTGGAGGCAGGAAGAGCAGCCAGGCTCATCCGGACCCTCAGGAGAGCTGAGAAGGGCAGGTATGATGGGACCAGAGCTCAGGAGAGTTTCGGGACGTGAAGTTGGAACCACTGAGATCCAGTCCCTGATTTGATGAGAGCCTCAGGGGAGAGGGAGGTAGCTAGCATGTCTCCCAGGCTTCTGGCTCAGACACTGGGTAGACAGTGAAGACCTTTGTAACATGTGAGGCAGCAGGTTCGGGGAAGATGGGAGGGGCAGCAGTGGTGGGGGCAGTGAGTGCTGAAGGTGTTCAGGAAGCAGCTCTGGGCCAGGTACAGTAGCTTACACCTGTATTTTTAGCATTTTGGGAGGCTGACATAGGAGGATCGCTTGAGCCCAAGAATTTGAGACCAGCCTGGGCAATATAGCGAGACCCTGTCTCTACAAAAAATAAAAACAACTAGCTAGGCATGTGTGGTGACACATGCCTATGTTCCTATGCAGGAACATCACCTGAGCCCAGGAGGTTGAGGTTGCAGTGAGCTATGATTGTGCCACTACACTCCAGCCTAGGTGACCAAAGCAAGATCTTGTCTCAAAAAAAAAAGCAGCTCTGGATGGGAAGGGAGGGCAGTTGCTGTAAGCAGGGGAGTTAGAGTAAAAGGAGGCTTTGTTTTATGTAAAGGTGGGGCAAACATAAGCATGTTAATAAAATTCAGAGAAGAGAAAGAGAATGACTGTCAGAGCCATGTTTAGAAGAAAGTGTGGTCCAGAGCACAGGACGGGGACCTGTGTTCAGAGGGTGCCTCACTGTTGAGGCCACAGGAAAGAATCTTAGTGGAGGGGAGGCTGAAGAGGGGAAGTTTCATGCTTGATAATTAAAATTTTCTGAGCTAGGGATGTCGTATTTACCTGTTTGAACCAAGTGGTTTAGATAAAAGGTACGGAGACAGGTCAGCAGTTCCTCTGCTTTCCCCAGGGCTAGTTCGGCACTCGGGCTCTAGAGTGCCAAGGATGAGGACTGGACTTCGAGCTGGGGTGATCCCAGTATTCGGTGTCCGTACTTAGTGACAGAATAAATGAGGGAAATGGGAATAAGCCAGAATTGTTCCCTCAGACAGAAATACTAGCAACTTTCAGCTCTTCCCAGAAGACTTTGATTCTGAATGCTCTTGTAGCTGGGAGCCCTAAAAAAAGAGTCTGAAGCAACTCAAATTTAAAAAAAGGAGACGAACTGATGGAAATCTCAGGATGGGGCCAAGATGTGACTGGAGTGTGTGTGCTGATGGAGGGCGTGTCCTTTGCCGAGCACACTCAGGGCCCACAGGAAGGCCACAGACTTCAGGGACATCAAGCCCCAAGGTGGTGGGATTTTCCCCACCAGTACTTGGCAGCCTAGGGGGATGGGAGGGCAGGAGAAGATAATGGGACCCCTGGCTCCAGTCATAGAAGGGCACACCTTTGCTGCAGTACACACATGCCTGGACGTACACTGTCTTTGAAGACACCAGCTAAGAGTCTCTGCTCCATGTTTGGACAGGGCCAGACCTGAGCTGAGAGAAATGGACAAAAACAACTCAGGCCTATATTCTGGTGCACACGTCACCTGCCGATACTGTATCCTGTGATAAAGTCGGGTGATTTACTGTCTCCACCAAACTGTAAACTCTGGTGGTATGCCTTTATAACTCCATGGCCCCTGGCAAAGACTCAGACTCAAAACAGGCGTCAAATAGATAACTGTTGAGTGATTGTTCCCCAATTGCAGGCTCTGCCACCTGACAGTCATACTGTCTGGGAGAGGACCCAGCTCACCTTTTTATCTCCCAGTCCTTCTCAACAGTGCCAACACCTCCTGGAAACTGACTGCAAATGTGCTGCTTCTCACTCCTGTGTGGCCCTTGGAGCCTGGGTTAATGCTGGGCTTTGTACCTTAAGCACCCTTTCTCCCTTCCCCATTTGCAGTCTCAGAATTACACCTGTCTGAAGCGGGTGTTTTCCAATGCCCTAGACGGGAGTGTAAGGGTAAGGAGATGGGGGGCATTTGCCTGTGTCAGACCATTCACTGAGGAACCCATAGGTGCTTTTAGAAACCAAATCCTTGAAGATGACCAACCAGAAATGCCCATCATAGCACTGTTTACAGTTGCAAAAATGGAAACCAATTGAAATGTCCATCAGGAGGAGATTAAGTGAATTATGGTACAGTTACACCATTGAATATTCTACAGCCATTGACAATATATAGCTATATTCATTGACAAGAAAAACTCATATTTTTGAGTGAAAAAAGCAGGTTATAGAATTGCATGATATCCACATTTATATAAAACTTTACATATGGGAAGGATGTTGATTGAATTGTTAATAACTATGATCACCTCTAGAGATGGAAGTTTGCATTACCTTTAATTTTTAATACCATTTTGTATTGCTTAACATTTCTATGTATTATCATTATAATGAGAAAAATCAAATAAAGCTATTTTCATTATGGGAAAACAGTCCAGTGCATCCTTTGAGGCCTGTGCCACATGTCTGTTCTCCAGGCAGATTCCCCTGATCTGCCTTCCGTGCCCTGCCCCAGCCTGGAGTGGAGCCCTGCATCTGTCGCCCTCTTCAGCCTCTGGTTTTTCTCTCCAGTGCGGTGTCAGCTCTGAGGCAATCTCTGTAGCCTCCTGAGCCCTGGACTCCCTAGGGTCCTGGGCTGCCCTGTCTTTGCTTATCCCGGTGTCTTCTCCCTCCTGCAGAGGAGCCTCTGGGGCAGCGGCTGCTCCTTGGCTCAAGATCATTGCCATACAAGCCCGTGGGCCACTGAGCCCAGATCTGTGGATTTTTCAAGCGATCTGGAAATCTGGCCTAATTTGAGGTTTAATAGGCACCACCGTGGGTGGTAAGATTAGTGCATAGTACCCCGGGAAAGCCTGCAGGCCCCACAAGGCTTGCCCCAGACAGGACTTTGCCCCTAGGAACCTTTCTGTTGTGGAAATGCTCCTCTGGCTCTGATGACCAGCCCTGGCTGTGGGCAGAAAGCTTCACCCACCCAAGGCTGCTCAGAGGAAGCCAGCTGCTCGCCTTCCACAGGATGCTCTTTGTCTGGGTCCAGAAAAGAAACAGAAAAACCCTGTCCAATCTGAGACAGGACCTTTCCATAAAGAGATGTGACTGTTTCCAAATGACTGACCCTTCGGGGCTTTAGAGCTCGCTGCTTCCTCTTCCATTATGAGCCCCAGTGGCAATAACCACAGGGGCCCAATAGGCAGGTTTCCCCTCAAGGGAGCACCAGCAGCCTCAGAAAAATAGGAGGCTCCTGAGGCCAGGAGCATGTTCCAGAGCAGGGGACAGACTGCCCATGACGGCCCCTTCCCACTCTCGGGCCTAATTATTTTATTAACTATAGTGAGAACTGCCATTTGTTCAGCACTGTGCTGGGCACTGTGCTCCAGGCCCTGAGACAGCTCAAATCCAGCTCCGCCACCCTGCAGGGTGCACTCATGACCACACTAAGGACAGGCCCAGGGAGCTAAAGCAGCTGGCCCAGATTACACCCCAGAGCTAATACAAACTCAAGCTCTTAGCACGGCCTCTCTGCCACACCCTATCCGACACAATCTAGACATCTAGACAGACACAGACGAAAGGAACCTGGAAATCAATCCCCTAAGTTGTTTAGACATGATTGCATCCACACAGTAGGACTGCTAAGGACAAGCCCATTTTGGTACCATCTGGCCTGGTACGCATTGTAGCTTCTCTGACGCATACGAGACACTCTTTCACCTGATGGGCAGGGGGGTGCCCAGTGGAGCAAAAGCAGAGGCTGGAAGACAGAAGCAGCTCTGGTGAGTAGCTGGGGACCTTAAAGGCAGACATGAGAAACTCCACTTGCTGAGAAGCCATGGGCAGCACCCTGGGGACAGCTAGCAGACGAGGCAGAGCCACCTCCCTTCCAGACCTCGAGGCCCGGATCAAGAACTGTTGTCCCCAGTTCTTGGTCTCTCAGGTCCCTTCACAATAAACCCTTATTACTTGAGGGAACCAAGTGTGTCTTTGTTTCTTGAACCCTAGTACTTGCCACACCAGAGGGGCTGCTTGGTTGATTGGCTGACACGGCTCTGAAGGGCATTAAGCTGTATCACCACATGCAGCTGGCAAGCTGTGCCATCAAAGTGCTGGGGTGGCCTCTGCCAGCTCTCCCTGGGCCAGACCTGGATCATGTCGTCTGAAGCAGCTGAGCTGCCGCTGCCATATCTGGGCAGGAGACAGGAGGCTCCTGGGAGTGGCATTGCTGACTGGAACCCCGAGCCTGCCTGCCCTGGACCAAGCTTTGCTCTAAGGACTTGGGCAGGACACGCTTGTCAGAGGTGCCTTCTAACACAGGCGTTCCCAGCCCCACCCCTCCCTCACGCCTCGCTTTCCCCAGATGACAGAAATGAAGAGTTTGGACTAACTCAGTAACTCACAATGCTTTTTAGTAGCACCCTTTTTAAAAGATGTGTTACACCAAAATCTAACATTCAAACATAAAAATGATGTTTTTAAATGTTATATTGTATTATTTCAATTTATAAAATGTACTTATTAACAAGGTAATCAGTAGAAACTCTGAGGCCGTTTTGCTGAACAGCATAGTTGCTGATTTACATCAACCTCTGCTTCCAATTTATTTCTTTACTCTTTTTGGTTGCACAATATGGAGTAAATCAGAAACATCCTTATTGGAGAGTTAGTTGAAATTGTTAATTTTTTTTTAAACTAACCTTGCAGTCTCAAGATGGAAGAAATAGTAGAACCTGTTTTTGTTGTCCATGAATCAGTATCCATCAGGATGAACCATGTCATTGCTAAACCCCTGCCGTTTTTTTGCCTACAAAAACAGCAAATTCACATAATTCAGTCACTAGTAATAGCTAACATCTCTCTACTGTGCGCTGGGCCCTCTGCCAAACACTTTGGAAGCTGCTGTCATTTAAGCCACACCGCTCTCTGTTGTACGAGGACCCCGAGATAAGGGCAGATAAGGACCCTGAGCCTCACAGGGGTTATCCAAGGTTATACCAGTGACCAGAGCTGGGCTAGGGTGGGGCAGGCAAGGTCCACCATGGCTCAGATGGCCCCTAGTGGCTGGGCCCCTCCCGGCCAGTCCACCCCTCCACTGCCGTCCCCCGTGCAGGCTCAGAGAAGAATCCTGCCTCTGTGCCCAGTGGCGCCCACAGGCTCGTGGCCCAGGGGCTGTTTGTTTTCTTAATGGGGTTAACCAAACCTCCTGAGCAGCAGAAGCCTTGCCGGTGAAAGGGGGCTTTGTGTGACTGCGGCGGAAGCCAGGGCCTGAGCTAAGGCCGGGGCTGTGGGCCAGCCTACCCACGTGCAGGAATGGGGCAAGTCGGGGGACAACTTCACCCCCCAGCCCTTCCTGCCCTCTGCTCAGGCCTTGGTCCTATTTCCAAGTGGCAAACTGCAGGCTCCATACCTGCAATAGAGGAGCGAGTGGGGCCCGGTCCCTGGCAGGGCTGCGGCGGGGAATCAGGAGACAGGTGCTTGCTTATTACGCTCTCCAACCGGGAGCTTCAGCAGCACCAGGAGCTTGTTAGCGATGCCCGCTTCAGGCTCCACCCCAGCCCAGCAAGTAGAAAATCCTGGGTCAGGGCACTCAAATCTGAGATTTCACAGCCCTACAGTTGGTGGTGAAGATTGCTAAAGTCTGAGAATTACTATAATCTAATAGGGAAATACAATCCATATGCTAGATCACAATGGAGAAAAGACAAAGGTTCGTGTGGAAAAACAGCTCATTCTAAAAACAGAAGTTACTTTGAGGGGTGCATATCCGTCATATAGAGTCTGGAACTTGGTATTCATATGCTGAGCTGGACAGCACTGAAAGTGTACAGAAAGCAAACTTCCTTTGATTGTAATAACTGCTATGGCATTTACATCATGTGTTCCTCTTTATAGGAAAATATTTGGCCCAGCACGGTGGCTCACACCTATAATCTCAGCACTTTGGGAGGTCGAGGCAGGAGGATCAGTTGAGCCCAGGCGTTGGAGACCAGCTTGGGCAGCATAGTGAGACCCTGTCTCTACAAAACAAAACGAAACAAAAATTAGCCAGGCTTGATAATGAGTACCTGTAGTCCCAGCTACTTGGGAGGCGGAGCCCTTAAGCCTGGCAAGTCGAGGCTGCAGTGAGCCATGATTGTGCCACTGTACTCCAACCTTGGCAAATGAGTGAGAGCCTGTCTCAGTAAATTAATACATAATTGATTTTTTAAAAATTGGAAAATATTCTCCATACCTTGTTTTACCTCCCCAAAGACATCTTAAATGCCCCTAAGTCAAGGATCTTGTTTTTCTTCATTTGGACCTGCACTCTTGTGCCCTAGAACGCTGTGCAATTAGGAGCTGCAGGTCTACTATCAGATGTTTGACAAGTCAGCTGCATGGAATCTCTTTGCACAACTGGTGATGAAAATCCACTGATCTGAGGCTTCCTGGAACACCTGAAAATTAAGTAAATGGATAAAGTGGACAACAATCTGCCAAGAAAGAAGCGAGAGGGGAGGTGTGTTTAACTCTGGAGGTGGGAGGAAGATTCTTGTTGCCCCCTTGCAGGCAGCCTTTAACCCTTCAGCAGCCCCTGCTCCTTCCCCTTCCTAGTTTTTTCTCGACATGCCCCCACTGCCCTTTCATTCATATACTCTTTCCATCATAAATATTCTGTATGTAGTCTTTCAACCCAAATGTTTCTGAGACACACAAGTAACAATAATTGCAGATTGTAGTAAGTGCATAGAAAGGGTCACATGATAGGGTGGTCAAGAAGGAAGCCTCAGCTGGTTGCAGTGGCTCACGCCTTTTATCCCAGCACTTTGGGAGGCCAAGGTGGGCGGTTGGCTTGAGCCCAGGAGACCAGCCTGACCAACACGGCCAAACTCCATTGCTACAAAAATTAGCCGGGTATGGCGGTGCACACCTGTAGTCCCAGTTACTCAGGAGGCTGAGGTGGGAAAATCACCTAAGCTGTAGTGAGCTCCGTGACTGTATCACTGCACTCCAGCCCGCGCGACTGAAGTGAGGCTCTGTCTCAAAAAAAAAAAAAAAAAAAAAAAAAATAGCCTCTTTGAGTTGAGTTTTAGGCTAAGAATTGGAGGATGAGCCCAGTCCTTGAAGAGTCAAGGAAGAGTGTCCCCAGGTGGAACAAACAGCCTTATGTGAAGGCCCTGAAGAAGGAAAGAGCTTGTCAGGTTCCAAGAGCCTGGTGCGTGATGAGGAGAGGAGAGGAAATGAGGCAGAAGATGGAGGCTGGGCTGGGTTACTTATAGCTCTATAGATTGTGTAGGGAGGGTGGGTTTTAGTCTAGGTGCAATGGGAAACATTGGAAGGTTTTAAGCAGATCCCTTGAGAACAGTTTGTGCTGCAGGGTAGAGAATGGACATTCTATTGGGGATGAAGGCAGGGAAAAATGAAGACCCTGCCTTCATGGGGACCAAGAAGTCTGAGTATCCCAGTAGAGTCCTCTCTGGACCATGGGAGTTGGGGAGGCCCTGTCGGCCAGGGGGAGCTGGGTGCTTGAATGATGGGGTCCTAGGGAGGAAATGAAAGCACAGCGCTTCTCCTCACTCTGGGCCGCTTTTCTTCTAGGAGACCCCTCTAGGATCTGGGAAGTTTTAGCTTCCTGATTCTGGGGTCCTTGTGTGAAAGAAAGTGTGGGACATGGTATTGGTGAGACCTATTTGCCCCATTTTGAGGTCATCTCAGCCCTCTCTGGAGGCAGGGCTGGGGATGGAGGTTTTCTGCTCCAGCTCAAAGGCATCTCTTCAGGAGCAGGGGAGGGGTGAGTCCCCTCAACCCCAGCCCTGAAGACAGGCTCCCTGCTTCCTCCTGCCCACCCCATGACCTCCCACTAGGTATGAGCTTTGGAAGGCAGGGCCTCCCCTCTCCCCATGTCACGAGGTCTTTGTAGGGGAAGTCAGTGGAGTAGAGGCCCTGCCATGGTGCTGCTGAATGATAGCAGCTCCTGGACAGTTGGAGGGGTGCAGGGCTGAGAGGTGGGAGCAGAGGCCCTTTCCAGTACATGGCCTGAGAGAATTCTGGATTAAAATTCTGCCACATATCTAGGAAGCAGCTGCCCAGAGGGGTGGACAAGGGCAACTCGTGCCACTCCGCAAAGTCCCTCTTTCCATCCACTGCCCTGTGCCCACTTGTCCTAGTCATCCAGGACAAGCCCACAGTCAAGCTGCTACTCAATGCTTCTGCTAAGGACCTAACATGTCTCACTTTTTTTTTTTTTTTTTTTTTTTTTGAGACAGAGTCTTGCTCTGTTGCCCATTCCGGAGTGCAATGGCACGATCTTGGCTCATTGCAACCTCTGCCTCCTGGGTTCAAGCCATTCTCTTGCCTCAGCCTCCCGAGTAGCTGGGATTACAGGCACGTGCCACTAAGCCCGGCTGATTTTTAGTAGAGACGGCGTTTCACTATGTTAGCCAGGCTAGTCTCGAACCCCTGACCTCAGGTGATCCACCCGTCTCAGCCTCCCAAAGTGCTGGGATTACAGGTGTGAGCCACCGTGCCTGGCCGAATCATCTCACTGTATACACTCGCCTCAAGGAGCCGTATTATCCCCATTTTGCAGATGAGCAAAGGTCTACACAGCTCCTGAAATCCAGGCTGTCTGAACCCCAAATCAGAGCCTAAGTCCCTAAACTGCCTCTTCCCCACAAACAGCCTGGAGCCGCTTAGGGTTAGAAGATACAAGTGGATGGATGGATGTAAACATTGAATGAATGGAGGGGCCTGTGGATGCTGGGGAAGGGGACATCATAGTTGGATTGGGTCCACGCCTTGCTCAAGTGTGGCCTCAGCCGGGGACTCCAGGTCGCAATCCCAGGGACCAGGCTGAAAGGAGGGAAAGGCTGGGGAAGGGACTGAGGAACGCAAGGCAGGTAGGTCCCTGGTTGGCCCGAGGACACGCACTGAGGCCCGGGGCCCGCCTCCGTCCACGCCTGGAGCCACAGGCCGTTCTTAGTCCTTAGTAGATGCTTAACTCAGGATGGGTGACATTTTCGCTCACCGGTTCCTAGCATCAGTGACCGCTCAGTAAATGTTTGACAAATGGGTGACTCCCCTGCCCCGTGCTGCGTCCGGGTCCCGCCTAATCTTCTGGGCTCAGAACCCGCCGCGCGAGGGAACGCCCGGGGCGGGGTCGCCTGGGGGCGGGGCCTGGGTGGGGCCTGAGGGCTTAGGGGGCGGGGCGGGGCCGGCCGCGCAGGGGTCGTCTGCCTGCTCCCGGAGAGTTAGGGCTCGGATTCGAGCGCGCCGAGCGGCCCGAGCCGGGGCGCGGATGCTGGAAGTTCACATCCCGTCGGTGGGGCCCGAGGCCGAGGGGCCCAGGCAGAGCCCGGAGAAAGGCCACATGGTGAGCGCGGCCCCTGGATGGGGAGGGGCGCCGGGACCTGCTGGGTTTCCCTGCGCTGCGCTCAGTGGGGACCCGGAGCCCTGGCCGGGGTGAACTGGCGCTGCGGGCCGGACCGTCGGAGGACACCTTGTAGAGGGTTTGGGGGTCGCTTGGATTTGCCACCCTCGCAGACTGTGGTTTGGGTCCTTGAGAGACCGCAGGGCGCCGAGGGGCGGGACCGCCAGCCGGTTCTCCCAGGTGTGCGGGAGCGGAGCATCCCGGGGAACCGCGGCGCCGCAAGGCCGCTTTGTGCCTTTGAGCGCGGGGCGGGTGGGCGCGTCGCTGGGCGCGGGTCCTGCTTCGTCCTCCCGCTGGGTCTCACGCGCACCCCCACTGCCCGCCCGCGCCGCCAGGTGTTCCGAGTAGAGGTGTTGTGCAGCGGACGCAGACACACGGTGCCGAGGCGCTACAGCGAGTTCCACGCGCTGCACAAGCGGGTGAGGCGGCGCCGACCCCCCCACCGACCCCTGCCCAGCCTCTGTCCAGCCCCTGCCCAGGCCCTGTGAGGCGGGCGGGCGAGCTCCAGCCCCAGCCTCCGCCACCCCCATGACTGCCCCTGTCTGAGGAGGGGAGGGTGCAGGGGGGCAGATCCTGGCCCGCACCGATCATGCCCCTGTATGGCCGGTCACCCCGGGAGGCACTGCGCCCACCCTCCCGGGCGTCTGTGGGTGGTTTGGGGCCTCCCTCGCCAACGGCCCGTCCACCATTCATCAGGGTATGTCCCAGGGTAGAGCCCGAAGGCGGGGGCGTGGGGCGCGGGAGGGCTTCTGGCTTTGGCGAAGAGGGCTTGAGGGCTCACTCGGAATGCTGTGATCGCACGCGGTAAACCCTCAGTAGATCAAGAAGCTGTACAGAGTGCCCGTCTTCCCCTCGAAACGCCTGCCCAACTGGAGGACCAGAGGCTTGGAACAGCGCCGGCAGGGCTTGGAGGCCTACATCCAGGTATGCAAGGGCACGCTTGGTCGTCGCAGCCTGCTGTGCCAGGGATGTGGTCCAGACAAAGAGGTGTGGGGGCATGGCAGGCAGGGAACCCACAACTTGGGGATGTCATTCACCACCTCAAGCATCCGTTTTCTGAAAAGTAATATAGGTCCAAATATCCCTCTCTGGAGTGTTGAAAGGACTGAATGAGGTAACAGACACAGGTAGTCCCAGCTCCATGAAAGGCAGGTCCTGTCCCCTCCAAGATGAGGTCCTGTGCCGCCCTCCTGATGGGATGTAGGGTGAGTGTCCTTCCCCCAACAGCAAAGCTATGCCACTTCGTGGGGTACAACCTGTGTACACAGGGCCCAGTGGTCACAAGAGCCCTGAGCTTGGTTTAGTGCTCTGCTGTCATTGTCTTGAAATTCTTTTTTTGGAACAAAGAGCCCTGCATTTTCATCGCGTTGGGCTATGCAAATTAGTAGCTGGGTCTGATTGCAGGTCTTCTCTGTCCTCTCCAGGGCATCCTGTATCTGAACCAGGAGGTGCCCAAGGAGTTACTGGAATTCCTGAGACTTCGGCACTTCCCCACAGACCCGAAGGCTAGCAGCTTCGGGTAAGGGGGGGTTAGGGGTGGGGGCCAGGGGCTGTCAGCAGAGAGCAGGTAAGGAAAGGTGTTGGAGGGCCAGCCCTTTCTTCTCGCACCTGCCAGGCCCCAGCCTGACATGACCACCCTCACCAGCCTTGGTTACCCCAGCCACCTCCGGAACTGTGCTTGTTACAAATAGAAGCAGTGGTCCCCTGGGAGGTACAGTTCTGGGCTCTGGTGTCCCCACCCCTTCCTCACATTTCCCCGGGCATCCCCAGGCAGCTTACACTGTTTCTCTTCTCTTCAGCACCCTGGGGGAGTTCCTGCCTGGTGACAGCAGGCAAGTCAAGGCCCTGACCCGTGCCTGGCCCCTGCCGCCCCCTAGTGGCCATATGCTAGGAGGCCGGCCTGCTGCTTGGGCCTGTCTGGCCTGGGCCCTGTGGTCTATCCTCCCCTTGGTGCCTCCTGAGCCCATTTCTCACTCACGGTTTTCCTTCGTGGGTCCCTGGTGATCTCAACCCCATCTCCATCCCCCTGTGGGATTCTGCCCTGCCTCCCACACCCATGGTTCATAACCCTCTTTCCTCCCAGATCCCAGCAGCACCAGCGGCCTGTCCTGGGCTTCCATGTGGATCCCTATGTGTGCACCCCCTCCCCAGGTGAGCTGCCTAGATCCAGGGCTACAGGAGGGGGGCTTGGCATTGTTCTACTCCCCGGATCCCCAAGTAGCATGTCCTTCCTGCTGCCCTCCTCTGGGGCCATTACCTTCTGCTCCTGTTTCCCCTGGAGCATGCTGTGTAGACACAAGGAAAACAAGTTTGGCTTCCCTGGTCTCCATTTCCTCCATAGCCTGACTTCTTTACCAAGCTGATGTGAATAGAATGCGACCTGGGAATGCCAAGGCTTCATTTGGGATGGACAGCTGCTGTCTGCTGCCTTGGCAGGGGCTCCTACTTCCAAGGGCAGCGTGGTAGGGGGATGCTGAGCCCATGAACAGGACCTTAAGGAGCCGCAGGCCTGAGGCCAGACCTGTTAATTCTATCCCACAGAGCCGCTGCCCAATGTGGTGGTGGATGGTGTGCTCCAGGGCCTCTCCAGCTTCAGGATCAGCCCAGATAAAGCCCAGCCAAACGATGCCTGTCACCCTGCTCCTCTGCCACCTACGTCCTGATCAGTCCAGAGGCCTCTAGCCACCTCCTAGGACAGTCATATGCCTTCATCCTATCAACTCCATAAAAGGCTAGGTCCTCCCTTGGTCTGAACCCAGGACTTAACTACCCAGTGCCCAGCTGTGCCACATCCCACTCAAGGCTCAGAACTTGGCTTGCACTGGTGGCTGGAGGTGGTTGAATTTGCATGTTCTTAGAGCACAGGAGCCAAGGCAGGGTCAAGAAGATAAGCAATAAAGATAAGCGCACAGAGGCTCACGCCTATAATCCCAACACTTTGGGAGGCCAAGGCAGGAGGATTGCCTGAGCCTGGGAGTTTGAGACCAGCCAGTGCAACATAGTGAGACCTGTCTCTACAAAAAAAACCAAAAAAACAAAAAAAAAGCGTCAATTTAGAGGTAGGCTATGAAAAGGTACAGGTATATTTCTTCACATAGACTGGAAGGTGGTGGCAAGGGGGGCAAATGTGGAGGCCTAGTATCCGGCGAAGTTTAGAAGCAGGGGCCAAAAGCTCCTGCCTGACTTTTCCTGGGTAGCTCCTGGGTCAAAGTTTCAGGCAGGATCCCAGGGAAGGGGCAGGCACCCACTGCTGCAAGAGAATGGCAGGCCTGTTGGGGTATAGGCTTGGGGGAGGCGCGGCAGACTCAAGAACCAGGCCCACATGTTAAAAAAAAAAAAAAAAAAAAAAACCCATATATTTTTTTAAATTGGTCAGTGTTGGCAGGAGTTTGTTACAAAACTGGGTCCATGGGCCTGTGGAATGTGAGGGGAGTGGGTCCACCAGATGCCAGCACCGGGGCCAGTGCAGCTTAGAGCCCTGTGGCAGATTAACTTCACCCCCTGGAGGGCAACAGGGCCTGCACAGATGGTCACTAAAAGGAAGAGGTCCCTGGGCCCTACTCCTTGGCAATGGCAAAGGGCTTCTCCACTTCGATCTTGCCGCAGTCTGCGATGATCACATCCTTCAGGGGTTTGTCCCGGCTGTCTGTCTTGGTGCTCTCCACCTTCCGTACCACCTCCTGGAAAGAAAAGGTGGAAGCAGGAGGGCACAGTGGATCAGGAGGTCTGCTGCTCGGGAGAAGGGCCCCAGCGCATGGCTCAGGAAGGCTGAGACCCATAAGTGATCAACAGCACGCAAAACTGGAGGCACCAAAATTCTAACAGACTCCTGGCCAGGGCGCTAGGCCAGGGCACGGAGAACACAGATTGATAAGGGCATGCAGGAGTTTTGTTCCTTTGAAGTAAGAGCCATGTTGGGCCACGGGCGAGGAGGAGGAAGAGGGTGAGCGGGGAAGGTAGCTTCTCAGGGACATCGTGTTCAGCTGCACTCTGGACGCCTCAGGGTTGGGGCCCGCACATCACTGAGTGTATGAGGGGAGGGAGGCTCTGGCAGCTGTGCAGCCTTAACAAGCCTTCCTGGCAGGGCTCTGCGGGGCTGGAAGAATTGAGAACCTTGGGTGCATGGAGCTGCAGGGTTTACTCAGGACAGGAGCCCTGGGCCACACCTGTGGGTTGGGTCCTTTTGGGAGAGGGATGGATGCATGGAGCTCCTGCCCTAGGGCCTGTGTTGAATCCCTAATGAGGACTGCCCAGGTATAGCCCTTGCTTCCAGAACTTACCATGCCCTCTAGAACTTTGCCGAACACCACATGCTTGCCATCTAGCCAGGCTGTCTTGACTGTAGTGATAAAGAACTGGGAGCCGTTGGTGTCTTTGCCTGCGTTGGCCATGCTCACCCAGCCAGGCCCATAGTGCTTCAGCTTGAAGTTCTCATCAGGGAAGCGCTCACCATAGATGCTCTTTCCTGGAAAAAAAGACAGAGCAGGTCGGTGGAGCTGGATTGGGCCAAACCAAGCAGACATTCGGGGCAAGGACTGAGGTGGTGGAGGGAGGTGCTTTGCAGGATGCAGGGGAGTCAATGCGGTCTGAACTCTCCAGAAAAAGGAGGACTGCTGTGGCTGGCCAGCCTGTTTTCCTGTGAGTACAAAAGACACAGGCATAGCTGCAGAGGAGAAAGCAGCCAGAGATGGGTGGGGAGAGGCTGCTCCTTGGGTTCTGGAAAGTCAATGTCTCTTAACAAGGAATGAACAGGAATAAAAGGCAGCTGTGAGTGTGTGTGATGCGTCTCTCCACGTGGGGCTTGGGGCTATGACAAGGGCAGCCAGGGGTGATCACTACGCCGTTTCGGAGATTCTAGTTCCAAAGCTGGTTCCAGAAGAAACACTGAAACCCTTCTTTTTCTGTCACCCCTTGGAGATGGGCACTGTGCATTAAGGCCAAGAAACCCAGCAAAAAACGGGTCATTTTCATTTGTTTTATCTAACACCTTTCAAATGTACTTGTGTGCAAAACCCTTTTTCCTTCTCAGTGCCCCTACCTTCATTCTGTGGTTCCACGAAATGGAACTGGGCTGGGAAACTGTCCTAGACCGATGCCAACCAGGAAGATAGTTCTGATTGGGCCGCAGGTAGGAATACTGAAAACCAAGAATGACCAGACTCTGGCTGGTGGGGACGGGATGCTTCCGCCTTTGTTCCACCTCTCACCCCCATGCTGGGAGACTGGACTCTGCCACATGTGCAGTGAGTCGTGGCTGGGGTGCTGGCTAAAAGCCTCCCCCATTTGAGAATCCTCTGAGTAAATCTCAGCCAACTGTGGGATTTTGATTACAGTTGTTGTCCAGAAAACCCCCAAATCTCCATCCTTAGCTCCAATCACTCTCCCAAGATACAGGAGTTCCAAACCCAAATGGACACTTCTCTTTAAACTCAACATACCTCGTCATCTTTTGACCTCCGTTATTCTTTTGACCCCTGTTCCTCTGCACGTGGCTCAGCTTGTCCCCACCTATCCTCCATGTACTCACTCTTTCTTTCCATTCCCGCCACCCCGGCTACAGTAGGTGACTGCTTAGGGCACTAACAGTGTGTGCCAGAGACTGTTCCAAGCATCTTACATATTTAACAATCCACCCTATGAGGAGGAGCTAACTGGACTACAAAGATGAAGAACCTGAGGCCAGAGAATAAAAGGAACCCCAGCGAAGCAGCGGCAGAGCTAAAGTTCAGAACAAGGCGGTCTGCTCTCTAATCTCTGCTCTCAGCTACCTTGGGATCAGGCCCAAATCTCCCCGCCCAGGGTCAGCTGTACCAGTGCCCCTAGTAGCCTGTCCGCCCTGGTCTCCACATCCTGGATCTACCACCACGAGACCCCCCTGGCACTCCAAGCAAGGGCTCATCCTCTTACTCAGCTCTGTGGCCCCGACTCCTTGCAAGCCAAAGCCCAGGCTGCAGGCCATGACCCACCTCTCTTTACTCTGGGTACAGACGCCCTCAACTCACCTTTGGCCAAGCTCCTTCCACAGAACAGCACTGGGCCCCTGCTCTAACCCTGCCTCTTCTTTGCCCATTCAAATTCTCCTCATCCGGGACCCCACTGAAATCTTTCCTCCCGTCCGTAAGCCCATGCCCATTCCCCCTGGCCTGTGGGGATTCCTCTGCTTATCAGCACTTCAACAATGGCTGACTTACTAAGCACTCAGAGTATGCCAGGCACATTACACTCCAGAGCTAGTCTAATCCTCACGGCCCCACAACTCTCTCCAGTCTCACTGGACAGAAGAGGACTGGAGCTCTAAGGACTCACTCTCCTGAGGTCACAAAGCAAGAAGGTGGCAGACGGTGGACTGAGCCCGGCTGTGTCTGACCCACAAATACAGTTCTTTGGTCTCCTTTGTGAGCCTGAGTCCTAAACACTGTATCATGGCCCACTTGTACAACTTTCAGTTGTTGGAAGTAAAAGGGAGCCACTGCCCCATGGGTCTTTATATCCACAACCCCCACCACAGAGCCCCACAGACACTCACAGAGGAGTGAGCTGTGCTCTAAGGGAGCAGCTGGCTGCACCTGAGCTCAGTGAGACTCACGCAGGGGTCCAGGGGGTCTTTCTGTCCTCTGTGTGCAAGTTAATGCAGAGGTGAGAGTCAGCCCTAGCAGAGTGGTCTCTGGTGAAAGACTGTCAAGGATTGGGCCAGGCACAGTGGCTCATGCCTCTAATTCTAGCACTTTGGGAGGCTGAGGCGGGCGGATTACCTGAGGTCAGGGGTTGAAGAACAGCCTGGCCAACATGGTGAAACCCTGTCTCTACTAAAAATACAAATTAGCCAGGTGTGGTGGTGGGCGCCTGTAGTCCCAGCTACTCAGGAGGCTGAGGCAGGGGAATCGCTTAAACCCCAGGGGCAGATGTTGTAGTGAGCCAAGGTCATACCACTGCACTCCAGCCTGGGTGACAGAGCAAGACTCTGAAAAAGGAAGGGAGGGAGGAAGGAAGGAAGACTGTCAAGGAAAGGAACTGCTCCTACTCTTTTTTCTTTTTGAGAGAGTCTTGCTCTGTCGCCCAGGCTGGAGTGCAATGATGTGATCTCGGCTCACTGCAACCTCTGCCTCCTAGGTTCAAGTAATTCTGCCTCAGCCTCCAGAGTAACTGGGATTACAGGCACCCGCCACCACACCTGGCTAATTTTTTGTATATTTAGTAGAGATAGGGTTTCAACATGTTGACCAGGCTAGTCTTGAACTCAAGGCCTCAAGTGATCCACCCACCTTGGCCTCCCAAAGTGCTGGGATTACAGGCATTAGTCACTGTGCCTGGCCCTCCCACTCTTGCTGGGGCTTCCAGGGTAGCCTGCACAGGCTTTGCATGCCTAACCTAGAACTGTGTACCCACATGTCTTCATTTTGCTTCCACACACCTCTCTCTCCAGTCCCCATTCCAAAGAGATATCGGGAAGGGTTACCAGGCTATAGGCCTAGATCAGCAGGTCGGCCACCAAGGAGAGAGTCTCTTAGGTCTTCCATCAGGTCCACCCCATTATTCTCTCTCCTTTGTACTAGGTTCTCTCTACAAAGAAGGGTGCTGCTGGTCTCAAAGTAGGTAATAAGTAGGCCTACCTCTAGAGCTGGGGAAGAAAGAGGCCTTGTCTCCCCAGCAGAGCCTGGCCCTCCCACTATGGAGGCTACATTGACATACTCCTTGGCCCAGAGGACCTGTGGTTACCTCCTGTGCCATCTCCCCTGGTGAAGTCTCCGCCCTGGATCATGAAGTCCTTGATTACACGATGGAATTTGCTATTTTTGTAGCCAAATCCTTTCTAGAAAAAGGGAAGAGAAGTTAAGGAGGTGGTATGGGGCAGCAGGAAGACATTAAACAGGCCCTGCAGGAACAAGTCCACAACTCCTGCTCGCAGAAGAGACACTCCGGCTGATCACTTTCACTGTTGAATGTGCTGCTGAGTGAGCGAGCAGCCATCACGGGACAGGCATGGTGCGTACAGATGTGGAAATGGCACCATATCCTCTCACTGCAACCTCCGCCTCCTGGGTTTAAGTGATTCTCCACCTCAGCCTCCCGAGTAGCTGGGATTATAGGCACGTACCACCATGCCCGGCTAGTTTTTGTATTTTTGGTAGAGATGGTGTTTCACCATGTTGGCCAGGCTGGTCTCGAACTCCTGAACTCAGATGATCCACCCACCCCAAAGTGCTAGGATTACAGGCATAAGTCACCCTGCCCAGGCTTTTCTTTTTTTTTTTTTTTTTTGAGACCAAGTCTCACTCTGTAACCCAGGCTGGAGTGCAATGGCGTGTTCTCAGCTTACTGCAACCTCTGCCTCCCAGGTTCAAGTGATTCTCCTGCCTCAGCTCCCAAATAGCTGGGACTACAGGAATGCACCACCACACCTGGCTAATTTTTGTATTTTTAGTAGAGACTGGGTTTCATTATGTTGGCCAGGCTGGTATCGAACACCTGACCTCGTGATCTGCCCGCCTCAGCCTCCCAAAGTGCTGGGATTACAGGCGTAAGTCACCGCACCCGGCCTATTATTTTATTTATTTATTTTTTTGAGATGGAGTTTCCCTCTTGTTGCCCAGGCTGGAGTGCAATGGCACAATCTTAGCCCAGGCTGGAGTGCAATGGCGCAATTCAAGCAAAAATTCCACCTCCTGGGTTCAAGCAATTTTCCTGCCTCAGCCTCCTGAGTAGCTGGGATTACAGGTGTCTGCCACCACGCCTGGCTAATTTTTGTATTTTTAGTAGAGAGGTGATTTCACCATGTTGGCCAGGCTGGTCTCAAATTCCTGACCTCAGGTGATCTACCCACCTCAGCCTCCCAAAGTGCTGGGATTGCAGACATGAGCTACTGCACGCAGCCTTTAATTTTCTAGTGAGAGGGTCCACTCTGTTGCTCAGGCTGGAGTGCAGGGGCATGATCTCAGCTCACTGCAACCTCCACCCCCCTGGATCAAGCAATTCTTTTGCCTCAGCCTCTTGAGTAGCAGGAATTACAGGTGTGTACCACCATGTCCGGCTAATTTTTATATTTTTAGTAGGGATGGGGTTTCAACACCTTGGCCTCCCAAAGTCCCAAAGTGCTGGGATTACAGGCATAACCATGCCCAGGTTAAATATATTTTAGACAAGGGCTCACTCTTGCCCAGGCTGGAGTACAGTTGCATGATCATGGCTCACTGAAACCTCCATTTCACTTCAGCCTCCTAAGTAGCTGTAGCTGGGACCACAGGTATTCCCCATCACACTGAGCTAATTAAAAAAAAATTGAGGGGGTAGAGACAGTCTTGCTATGTTGCCCAGGCTGGTTTTGAACTCCTGGGCTCAAGTAATCCTCCTGCTTTGGCCTCCCAAAGTGCTGGAATTATAATTATGAGCCACTGTGCTGGGTCAGGGCTCCCTCACTCTTAAGAAAGGACAATGCTGGGTTCCCAGGGCAACAGGCAGTTGGTGCTCAGTGAGGGCCACACTACAGATGGGCAGCCCTCTACAGGTCAGTTTGCTGCCATCCCCAGTGCCAACTTCACTTTGTTTGAGTTGACTACCCCTGCTCCAGCCACTTACCTCTCCTGTAGCTAAGGCCACAAAATTATCCACTGTTTTTGGAACAGTCTTTCCAAAGAGACCAAAGACCACCCGGCCTACATCTTCATCTCCAATTCGTAGGTCAAAATACACCTGAGAAAAGAGACCATTTCCAACTTAGCTTCTTTAAAGGGGCATTGCTGGGGGAGGGAAGGCACAAGAAGCTGCCCTGAGGATGGGAGAGAGAATAGAGCCATAGTTTTAGAGAAGTGGTTTGGATCTGATTTTGGCGAAGGTAAAAATCCTACGAGAATCTGATGAAAGCTCCATTATCTACACCTTCTTGGACTACAGGATAACATTTGCTCTAAACAGCGAATCGACCCAGATTCTAAAAATTAACATTAAAAACCCCATAAGAAAGGGGGTCTAAGTTCACCACTTAAGTTTGAACTATACATACTGTGTTCTGTAATTGCAAGTGGCTAAAATTTGGCTTAAAGAGAGAAATTATTCGGAATCTGGCAGGAGTGATCTTTCACCATCTCCCCAGCACTGAGGGGTGTTTTCAAAAAGGCTGCTCTGAGGCTGCCAGTGCCAGCCCAGATGGGTATCCGGGGACCCAACTAACTCCCTGGGTCAGGGCAGGGACTGAGGGGGTCGCGGCTGGGGCTGGGGGTGTCGGGTGGGTCGGGGTCGTTCTCCCGACTGAATGGGCAGGACGGCCCCGGCGACACGAGGCCACAGACAGAAGCCGAAGGAGAAGGGGCTGAGCCAAGGCCAAAGCCAAGGCCGTCTGGGCCCGAGCTCCAGAAACGCAAATGCCGCGGACGCCACCGGACCTTGACGGTGACTTTGGGCCCCTTCTTCTTCTCATCGGCCGCAGAAGGTCCCGGCAGCAGCAGGAAGAAGACGGAGCCCGCGATGAGGGCGGCGGCAAGAAGCACCTTCATGTTGCGCTCGGAGAGGCGCAGCATCCACAGGCGGAGGCGAACGCGGCCCGGACAGCCGAGGCCGGAAGAGGTGGGGCCGCGGAGGCTAGAACGCCGGCGCCGCCACGCGCGGGCGGGGGGGACTGGGGCTGCTCGCGGGCTCCGGGCGGGCGGCGGGCGCCGTTTCCCCCCTCCGGCTCGGTGCCGGATAGTAGGTCCTCCTGCGGGGCGGGCACCGACGCGGGCTCGTGGGTGGCTGCCACGTTATGGCTCCCTCATTGGGCTCCCGGCCGCCCTCTTCCACTCACAGGAAGGCCACCGGCGGAAGGCGGCCCAGCCGAGCGCGGGCCGTCGCTACGAAAGGACCACAAGCCCCGGCATGCCCCGCGGCCGGCCCGCCCCGCCCGGAGCGCTGTTCCGCTGGCCTGCGGTCGCTGGCGTTTGAGGATGGCAAATACGTGGACCTGGACAGGGGCACGGGACGCCTGTAACTGCCTGTTTTGAGCCAGTCAAGCGTCTGTCACCACCAAATTGGCTGTAAGCGTGGTAGCTTCCAAACGCTCCAGGCGCATTTATCCTTCCCGAGCGTGACCTTGCACGGCTGCTACCACTTGTCTTGCAAAACTTGCTGCACAACCCGCTTTCCTTTTTGCTGAGTCCATCACGTTACTACCCATTTTTCTCTCCCTTCTGTAATCTGGCTCTGCTTGCCGATGTATAAATCAATGCACACCTTATTGTATACGCTGTTCTTAACTTCCTTTACCTGTTTGATTTCCCCAATAGACTTTTTCCGCGCAAGGGGCTGTGTGGCATTTACTCTGTCCACGGCTCTCTCACAGCCCTGCAGTATTGTGTGCCCAAGTCCCGGGAGGAATAGCTTCACATCCGCACTGACATGAGAAATAATTTATGCCACGGCCTGAAGACACAGTGCCTTTTTTCCAGAGGTCAGGGTTAGTTACTAGAAGTTCCCACAACGCTATTTTTGGTTTTAACACATTTGTTGTCCCACTCTACAACATGCTTTGGTACTAGGACTCTTACACACCAAAACAAACCAAAAGACAGGCTTCCAAAATTTGGACCTATGGCGTTAAAACGTCTTTAAAACTAATTTTCAAAGATTGACTTCGTAGAAATTTCAGGTCGTCACAGCACAGATTGTAGGCAGGGCTCCATTTCCATAAATTATGCCATGTAGTCTTCATGAGGTGCTGACCTGAGGCTGAAGTTATGCAGGGCTACTGGCATTAACTTTGTCATTTATTGATTTATTTATTTTTGAGACAGAGTCTTGCTCTGTCGCCAGGCTGGAGTGCAATGGCTCGATCTCGGCTCACCGCAACGTCTGCCTCCCGGATTCAGGCGATTCTCCTCCCTCAGCCTCCTGAGAAGCTGGAACTACAGGGGCGTGTCACCACGTCCCACTAATTTTTTTTGTATGTGGAGTAGAGACGGGGTTTCACCACGTTAGCAAAGACAGTCTTGATCGCCTGACCTTGAGATCCGCCCGCCTTGGCCTCCCAAAGTGCTGGGATTACAGGCGTGAGCCACCGCGCCTGGCCAACTTTGTCCTTCATTACAGCGGCCTTACACAGTCACGTTGCAGACCTTCAAGACAGTTATCTTGTTATTTCCCATCCTTGCACCTCAATTCAGACAACCTCAATCAGGTGGAAGTTTTAAAAATTGTTATATTGACAAAGATGTCTTCGGAATCCATCTCTCATCCCCGCCCCCCCCTTTTTTTTTCCTATTTTGTTAAGCATCTTTCCTCATTCACTGGTCTCAGGCTGCCACAGCCAGAGAAAAATGTTTACCACATCATGTTTTCAAAGTAGCCTCCAGCCGGGCATAATGGCTCATACCTGTAATCCCAGCCCCTAGGAGGCTGTGGCAGGCAGATGGCCTGAGTCCAGGAGTTTGATCCTGGGCAACATGGTGAAAACTGTCTCTACAAAAAACAAAAATTAGCAGGGTGTGGTGGTGCACATCTGTAGTCCCAGCTAACCCAGAGGCTGAGGTGGGAGGATCACCAGGAGGTCAAGGCTGCAGTGCCCTGTGTAGTGTACAGTGTACTGTGATCATGCCACTGCACTCCAGCCTGTCTCAAAAACAAGGAAACACTCAAAAAACCCAAGTAGCTTCCTGCACATGGGGAGCTAAGGCTAAAATAGCATTACAGCAGCCTTTCTCCCACTCCCACTTTCAAAAGAAAAAAATCAGGTTGATGGATAAAAGGCTCTCAATGTGAAATTTTTCTCTCATGATTCTTTGGCTGCTACTTGCCTGTGAAAAAATAATTAAGGAGTAGTAACAAACTGGAAGGAGTCAGTTATGCCCAGATTGACAAGTTGTTTTGTTGCCTACATATGCATGTGTGGTTTCACATTACTCATCAAAGTTCTGTCGGGTCTGGACACATGTTCCTCATGAGCAGAATTGTAAAGCTACTAAAGTTGTTCCACAAAGCAGATCCTGATTTCCTGTGTTCTACCACCTGAGAACAACAAGGACACAGATACTAACGTGATAATGTCCAAATTATTCCAGGAATATTTATTTGACACGGAGTCTTGCTCTGTTGCCCATGCTGGAGTGCAGTGGTGAGATCTTGGCATCTCGGCTTACTGCAAACTCCGCCTCCCAGGTTCAAGCAATTCTCCTGCCTCAGCCTCCTGAGTAGCTTGGATTATGAGGAAAGATGCTTAACAAAATAGGAAAAAAAAAGGGGGTGGCGGGGATGAGAGATGGATTCCGAAGACATCTTTGTCAATATAACAATTTTTAAAACTTCCACCTGATTGAGGTTGTCTGAATTGAGGTGCAAGGATGGGAAATAACAAGATAACTGTCTTGAAGGTCTGCAACGTGACTGTGTAAGGCCGCTGTAATCACCATGCCCGGCTGATTTTTGTATTTTTAGTAGAGCCAGGGTTTGACAGTGTTGGCCAGGCTGGTTTCGAACTCCTGACCTCAAGTGATCCACCCGCCTCGGCCTCCCAGAGTGCTGGGACTACAGGCATAAGCCATCAATGCCTGACCAATATTTATTTTTTCATTAGCACCTGACAAGATACAGCAATATTTATTTTTAAAGTGACTCGAAGGTGGAGAAATGTTTAATCCAAAGGAATGAAGCAAGAATGCCAAATTATCAGGCATTTATTTTCGTTCACAGGAGCCTTTAATCACATCAAAATTGGTCCCAACTAGATTGTTAATTACAAATGAGCCAAGGGCAATTAAAAACAGACAAACCAATCAACCAAACAAACAAGGAGAAGTAGCCAAGAAAGTTAAGACATTTTATTTTACATACAAAAAGGGTGCAAACTGAGTCCTTTCCTCCCCAAACTGGGGAAGAGGTATACTTAAAGATCACATTGGTGTTTTCCATGGTGCCCTAGGAAATGGGCTATTTTGAGATAACGTTATCAGAACCCAATTTCCATTTTCTCCAAAGAAGGCTACTTCCTCTGCAGAGAAGATTTTCCTAATGGTGCACAAATATCTCTCCTGGAGGAACCATTTCAAATACACTTGAAATTGACATTCATGTTTAAAAAATACTACAAATTTCATTTTCACAGCTGAGCTTTGCGACCAGTGCCAGGGTTTATGAAACATTATACATCTAAAAAAAAAAAAAAAGTAAAAAAAAGCATTTAACAATAATCAGACACATCCACACATTAAAACTGATTTCCACAGCTGATTTATACATTATCTAGTTGTTTAAAAATCGCAATCAACATCTCAACATTTTTTTAAGAGTACAATGGGCAAAGATCACAGACAGACAAATAATATAATAAATTATAGCATGTAATATGTCCAATGGGAATTGCTGAATCAACATTTTTTTCCATTGGGGGTATGTATTTTTGGTTTCATCGTTATCTTTTCTGCTATTATTCTTTTCTCTGCTTGATAAATAGGGCTCATTCCTAAAGCCAGCTTGCTGAGACATTAATTTCAGAAGCTCACTTGTCACTTGTTTACCTCTGAGAATCCTCAGGAACACATGGCTCCCAGCAGCTTGGGCTGGGTCTTTATGGAAGTGAAATGCACATAGATGAATGCACACACTCACATGCATGCACACACCACACACCACACACACACACAGACACGCAATCACACACTTCCATCTGTAACTATATTTCTCCCCCAAAGAAATGGCTCATCTTTCCTGAGACATTCCTAATAGACTGATAAGCCTTCTAAAAAAGGCTTTTGGTACAAGGGCTGGCCTGGGATTTGGTCTGGAGCTCATGAACTGAAAATGTCTCACCTGTACTGAAAGATGGATGGGTGGGGACATCTGGAACAGCTGTCCTCCTGTGGGTGTTAATGGAATGGCTGCACCGCACCCCCATTTATTACCATGAATAATCCTCTGCTCTGAGACATTACAGGTGGTGATGGCACCGGGAAAGTGATTGTGAGGAGTAAAAGAAGAAAAATAAAAGAAATTCTGTCTATAGGAATGAGGTTTCTTTGTAATATCAAGTTTGGTAATCAAACTAGAAATACGTGGAATACATGTTCACTTTTTCCGTTGAAAGGTGATTTACACAAATACTGGAAGTGGGTTTTCTGGTTGTGTTTGAGAAAATATGTGAACTATCATTGTGTATTATCCAGGGAACCTACTCACTATTTTGAATACAATGAGAAACCTATTTTTTTGTACTTAGTCACCTGCAGAAGGAGTTAGGTAAAACATTTTTAAGACTGTTTGCTGGATAAAAGACTTTCAGGATTCCTTACTTGTGGCTTAAACACTGCTCAAAACTTTATAAACCCACCGAAGGGCTGTGGTTGCCTCTTCTTTTTCTTATTCAGAAACAAAATCACCCCCCATACACCAAAAACACAAACAAATTGAAAAAAAAACAAAAAACAAAAAACCAAACCTAACAAACAAACCCAAAACCCAAAGCCAAAGTAATAAAGGAATCCCAATTTGATTCCTATCAACCCCTCATGGGAAAGACTAGGCTGCACAGACACAAGTGATATACCCTGGTGAAAAGGGAGTATGGGGGACCATTTATGCCTTGGTGGAGTCTTGGTCTGCTTGCCTCAATCTGTTCAGGATGCAATGTCTGAGGGACTGTAGAGCTTGGGAAAACTCTTAATGTATAATATTAAGGTTTTTTTTTTTCTTTAGTAGGAGTCTTGCTCTGTTGCCCAGGCTGGAGTGCAGGGGTGCAATCTCGGCTTACTACAACCTCTGCTTCCCGGTTACCAGCGATTCTCCTGCCTCAGCCTCTTGAGTAGCTAGGACTACAGGCGTGTGCCACCATCCCAGGCTGATTTTTTTATTTTTAGTAGAGATGGGGGTTTCACTATTTTGGCCAGGCTGGTCTCAAACTCCTGACCTCATGATCTGCCCATCTCAACCTCCCAAAGTGCTGGGATTACAGACATGAGTCACCACACTTGGCCAATATTAAGGGTTTTCATGAACAGATACTGAATTACCTTTCAGAAAAACAATTGCATCAATTCCGAAGAAAAAGATCCTTAGGTGCCATAGTTGTGAAATGGAGAAAGCTCAAAAATTACAGTGCAAGTGGATGGGTGGGGACAGGCAGCGACTGCACGCCCTAACCCCAAGGATCTGGCTGAGGCATACAGCTAAGCAACTGTAGCAATAGGGCTGAGGAGGGAGTCCTGATATGCTGAGGGGGCTGAAACTGATGATGGTCAATTTCTTCTAGGGTACTCAGGTTTTTTACTTTTTGTTTTATTAATTTTAAGGAAGATACCATCAGAATCTCCCAGGTCTGGGACCACCTTCAAGTGCCAATGGCCCTGGAGGATCACCATTACCCTGTATGCTAGATGGATCTGGGATTCTTTACCTTTGTTATGAAAACCAAATATCTAGTAAGAGATTTGTGGTGGTTGGGAGGTGAGAATGGTGTATTAGGAAGGACACTCCCCACAACTGCTCCAATAAAAATCTTAAGACAAAAAGTCACAAATCCAGCTGCAAGGCAGAGAGAGAGAGAGAGAGAGAAAGAGAGAGAGAGAGAGACAGTGTGTGTGTATAAGCAGGATGAGGGGATGAAGAGAGGCACTCAGTAGAGTATACAGTGCCAGGATGCTCCGGGCATTGCCACCATTTCCCTCTGCCTTTTTTTTTTTTTTTTAAATAGACAGTCTCACTCAGTTGCCCAGGCTGGAGTGCAGTGGTGTGATCTTGGTTCGCTGCAATCTCTGCTTCCCAGGCTTAAGTGATTCTCCTGCCTCAACCTCCCCAGTAGCTGGGACTACAGGCGTGTGCCACCACACCCGGCTAATTTTTGCATTTTTTGTAGAGACGGGGTTTCACCGTGTTGGCCAGGCTGGTCTCCAACTCCTGACCTCAGGTGATCCACTTGCCTCAGCCTCCCAAAGTGCTGGGGTTATAGGTGTGAGCCACCATGCCCAGACCCACTCTGCCCGGCCCCACTCTGCCATCTCTTGAGAGGCAAGGCATTTTCTATACAGGGATGAGAAAAAATTAAACTTTCTATAAGTTAGAGTTGCTCAAATCACAACTGAGAAACTATGTAAATTTTAGTGACAGGGCTGTAACCATTAGGTAATGGCAAGGACACAAATCCCAATCTTCACAGTCCTTGTGGAAAGGACTGCATCTTCCTGCCACTCTATGTTTCATATATAGAAACAATTACAGAAATGACATATTACCAACTTTCCATAAGCTAAGCAGGTTTGATGCCAGTGAAATGATATTTCCTAGCCAAGGTCCAATGGAACAGATGAAGCCCAGTACCTCTGATCCATGCGAATGCTGCTATTTCTGCTCTGTGTAAGGTACATTAAGGGAATTTTCAAGAAATGCCAACTACCAGAAAATATCCCACACCCTCCAGTCCAAAAGACAGCCCTACACCTCAAGCCAGACGTGAAGACTTCTATGCTCCACAAAACATCAGACTAAGTCACCAACCAGCCATTGTGCTCCATAGTTAGCGCTCTACTCCCAGATACAAGACCTCCTTCCTGACATAAATGACCCTTTCTCCTCTGTCACCTCTGCAATGAGGAGTCATTGTTTGGTGAAGCCACTAAACTCAAATGAAAATTGGGCATGAGAAGAGTAACTCCACACATGAAAAACTTGTCAAACAGTGAATGAGGAACCAAGATCCTTCACAGTAGTACCTCATATGAAAACACCATGGGGGGACGCAGAGGGCATAGGGCGAAAACATGCTCAGAAGCACGGCCACTTTTCTGGAAGGAGTGTATGTCCAATTGAGAAGATAATTTCAGACCTTTTGCGCCAGTCTCCTTTTCCCTGGAATGTTCCAGCACCAATCAATCTTTCCCTCCTTTTAACTGCAGCCCCACATACTGCATCCTAAGCCTACTGCTATGGACCTGCTGGGAGAAGAGCTTCATGAGCTTGGTTTCTGATAAGGCGGGCCAGCTACAGCTCAGCTATTAGGGCAGACAGGATACACCAATTTCCTTTTCCTGGCCCTATAATGCCATACCCCGAGGCTCCTCTGGCAGGTGGAAGGCAGGTTTACCATCCTCCTCTTTTTTCCCACTAATAGCAATATGGTGGTGGCTGTTCCATCACTAATTTGTCCCTCAGATCACCAGGAAGTTACATAGCTATCTAGCTGGAAGTCCCTGGCAGCAGAGGAAACAATTTCAACTTTTTTTGTTAAGCATCTTCGTCTCTGGGATAAGCTGTTTTCTGGTCACAGTCTGGCTCGGCTGGCTCATCTCATGTGCTGGAGAGCTAGGTTTTCAAACTGTAAGTTGATTAGGTCAAGATGCTCTGGTAGGGACATTCTTCAGCTGCTGAGAAGATGAATGAAAATTCAAGTATGTTTTCTTGTCAACCTGAGTGTTCACTCAGAATGACACCAAGTTTGGCTTCTCTTCTGGGTGCTGCAGATCAAACTCTTTCCACTGAGAATGTCCTCTGGACCCATGTTCTCTCTGAATGGCTTGGCTGGCCCCATCCCCCTCAAAATAGATAAAAGTAAAACCCCAAATACCAGACACAATATGCATCTGCATGTTTTTGTTTTTGTTTTTGTTTTTTTAAAAAAACTAAAAGTGCAATAAAGTCAGTTTTCTTTCCTTTGCTCAGAACAATTTTCATTGTCCTACTACCACCTGGAGAAAAAGTTTGTCAAGAAAGCTAAGAACGCCAACATACACGGACAGTAGACTGCAGATTGCTCACAGCTTGTGTCCTACAGTGTAACTTCACAGGAGGTAGGGAAGAAGGAACCTGAACCCCATGGCCAGCTGGGATGAATGCTGCACAGGCACAGAGGAAGAGGAAACCATACTGCCAGGCACACTGGAGACACAGAGTTCTCCAGCCTAGGTTTGCCATTTTCCTCCTACCTTCTTAGCCTTACTCCCAGCCTCTTGATCTCCTTCTGCAGACAAAGCCTTTAGCTCACTAGGTTTTATGCTGGAGAGCGTTGAGGGTAGGGTAAAAACCAGGAGTAAACTAAGGGGAGGAAGAATAGTAGTCCTTGAGTTTTTGTGAATGACACCTTCACTGTAAACAATGGGAAGGAGAGTCAACCAGGCAGCCCTATGGGCAAGCAGTGGAGGAACGGCAGCTCTGGGACCTGCTCAGAGCCTTAGGCAGGCGGGGATGGCCAATGACCCACTAGGCCCTGGCTGCCCACACTGGCTCCTTCTGGGGGCATCTGTTTTCTTCTTTTTGGTTTGGATATCCACCCTCCCCCAAAGAGGAGTCCCTTCCAATGATAAATGGCAGGAGCTGCAGGTACAATTGAGTCAGAGTCCCCAGGGCCTGAGGACTCCTGGGAGGCACTGGTCACTTGTGGCGCTGAGCAGTCTTCTTCCTTTTCCTCTTAAAGAAACAGCAGCACCTGGAGCACAAGGAACATTGCAAGTCAGTGCGGGAGGCCTGCAGCTTCCAGCAGACTTCTGCCTGCTTCTGCTTACTGCAGGGGGTGGGATTTTCCCCCTGGCACCCACCCATAGGGACCGCCCACCATCTACAGTGCACGCACTGGAGGCAGTGGGCAGTGTCTGCCAGGAAAGCCAAAGGAAATAGCTGCTTGATTTTAATCTGTAGTCACCCTAATTATTAAAATGGTTCTGAAATAGGGATTGCTGGAAGGAGGATGAAGAAGGCTACTTTTGTAGTTTAGCGCTCAACCCAGATGCCTCACCTTATCAAGAACCAAGACTGGGGGTCCTCAGGTCTGCATAAAACTAGTCTACACTCTCTACTCCTTGATACTGAGGTCATAATTATTTAATGCAACTCACTGACCAGAGGGCAGGGGGGATAAATTAAGGCAAACCAATCCCATGATAAGTATGATGTCTGGAACTCTGGGAGGATCTTAGCATGTTACCAACGAAGGATTAACAATTCTCTCCATCCCCCTCTCTGCCCTCACCCAAGTACCCAAAGTAGGCAGAAGAGGCCCTGACTCTAATAGTAACTGTGAGCCACACCTCCCGACTGACATGAGTACAGCTCTCCTTTTCATTTGGAGTGGACCACTGCCATAACCCAGGAGGTGACCATCAGGATACTCTCACTCCCTAAAATGGGGACTCCCCAGTTTAGCTTCCTGAGACTGCTGCTGTGCCAGATGAGGTTTATAAACTGCCCCTGTCTACGATGTAGTTGGTGTTGGCTCCTTTATCAGTCCTCCAAGTTCTGTTCCCTGGGGACTAGCCACAGTTCTGGCACATCCCTAAGTCTGAGAATCCCACCTCCTCACTCCTGTCTTTAGAACAGGAAGCATCATTCTTACTCAGGCAGTCCAGAGTGGGTGATGAGTGCAATTTGCACAAGATATGTCCTTTCCAGGGAGCTGATATATAGGGAATGGGAATGTAAGGGACAGAAGGTGGTGGATGAATCAAAGATGCCAGATGATAGAGGGCAGTAAAGTTGGAAGTATAGGTCAGATTTGCTAGACCCTTGAAAGAAAAGCTTGTCTGAGAAAACTATATTTGAGTCTCTTGCCTAATTGTTGCAGGAGTAATGCCAGCAATATTCATATGGAAATAAAGACTGTCACTTAGGTATTCCATTGTAGCCACAATTCCCTCTCTGTTTAGTTAGATTCCTTGGTATTCCTACATCCAATGGACTAGTTATCAAAAACTGGAGAAAGTTTCTAAGAATGCAGAAACAAACGCTGACATAGACCATGATGGGGTTTAATCATATCTGAATGAATTAAACATGAAAATTTTGGAAATAGGAATTTCTTAAGAGGGTCTTTGGAAAGATTTTCTCTGAAAGTATCAATTACATTTGTGAGGTACTATTAATGGATGCAAATATAATCACTAAAGAAAGTGTCATATGTATTTGGAAACTGTAAATTCTTTTACATAAAAGTGACCAAGATTTTTTATTGTTAAAAATAATTCTCAGTGGAAACCCTAGGTAAGAATTCAAGGACAAAGGGTGTCTTTCTTTCTCCCCGCCCCTCCCTTTCCTCCCTCCCTCCCTCCCTTCCTTCAAGTCTCACTTTTTCTTTCTTTCTTTCGTTTCTTTCTTTTTTTTTTTTTTTGACAGGGTCTCGCTCTGTCACTCAGGCTGGAGTGCTGCAACAGCACGATCTCTGATCACTGCAACCTCTACCTCCTGGGCTCAAGCGATTCTCCTGCCTCAACCTCCCGAGTAGCTGGGATTACAGGCGCCCGCCACCATGCCCAGCTAATTTTTATATTTTCAGTAGAGACGGGGTTTCACCCTGTTGGCCAGGCTGGTCTCAAACTCCTGACCTCAAATGATCCACCTGCCTTGGTCTCCCAAAGTGCTGGGATTACAAGCATAAGCCACCATGCCCGGCCCAAATGGTGTTTTTCTATACGTATAATTTAGAAATCTTGGACATTTTCCAAGATGAATGTCCTGAAATTAATAACAAAAGAAGCAAATTAAATCTCTATTTCAACAGACTTACCTCTTTTCTTCTGAATCATGATTTTCAAAGGCATTACTAATTTTAAGTCAACTTCTTAATCTTTTTGGAGGATGCTAAGATGATGATTTTGTGTTTTTAAGAGAGCAATTAAAAATAGTTTAAAATATTGTTTAGGTCAATTTCAAACTTTACAATGACTTCTCTTTTACCTCCTCCAAGGCAAGTCATAAGAATTAATGTCTGCTTACAAGCATATCATAACTGGATGTACAACGCTGAACGCACCTGACTAAAAGGGAGTGTGGTTCAAAGGAGTTGGAATATTTCAAATTTAGAGCCCTAGATTAATCTTTGCTAGTTATTGTGGTTATAGCTTCAGCAGTGGCAAAGGCTTTTTAATAATTCTACCTACAAGAAAGCAGGCCCCACAATGTGTTCTTCAATTCTCTGGTGTCTGTGGTAACTACTAGCAACAGGATCTATTAAACTGGGTCAGAATCTAGACCAAGTCCACTGACTGACTGACTCCATTCAGATATGTTACTCTCAGAAGAGAATAAAGGCAGGTGATGGATTCTTCATGGCTTAGGTTTTCTTCCAGTTGATTCTTTGACTGTTTAGATGACTAGAAGTTCTCAACATGCTGGAGTCAAAATCGATCCAAGTCTCCCTAGTCACAAGCCATCTAGTGCTCTTCCCCCAGGCCTCTGACCCACTACCTTTTCCACACGGCTTTCTTATTATGTCCTGGCTCTCTCTTCAGCTATTCCCCTGCTATGTTCCTTTTCTCTGCCATACGTGTACATTCTTCCTTTCTTCTAATACTTAACTCAAGTCCTACAGTGTTTACAAGGACTTCTTTGACCATCCTGTCCATAGTGACCTCTTGGTCCCTCAGCCTCTCAATGGCAATAATCTAAATGTCCTGGAGAGCTTCTTGTCCTTTTGTTTGTATGTCTTGTCTCTTCAGCTAGGTGGCACCTATGATCTTTGGGACAAATTTTGTAACTCGCCTTCCACCCTGCTAGAGTTCCAAGCATAGGGTTGGATGAGCATATAAGAGGCCCTAGAGTATCTGCAGTAAGGATCATGTGACTGACACCTCACAGGAAAAAACAGACCACCACAATATCGGATTACACAGACACATATTTGCAAAACGAAGAGCCCAAATGCACTCTTTGATCCCCTAAGACTATAAATCTGACCTCAACAAAACCCAGTTGTTTTCTTTAATACATTCCTGTCCCTAAGGAAGCCCCTGTAGGCAATCTGGCTTAGATAGTTAGGGTTCAGAAACCAGTGCCCAACCCACTCACTTTAGACAAATAGAAACATGGCAGTCATGAAGTCTAGCAGGCTGTTACCTCATGTAGAATATGACTCTATGTGTGCAAACAATGTGGGAGAGTTACAATTCCAGACTGCACAGACCAACAAGTTCAGGAGTACCTCGAGGGTCACAGGCAAGAGAGCAGGGGAAGGGCTCTGTCTTGTAGCAAGAATGTTCCTCACAACACACAGATTCTTTAGGGTTTCTCCTTCCATAAACTCCATGTGATTCCTAAAAATACATTCCAGTAACTTTTTCCAGGAGTGGAAAAGACAGGCTCCAATATATCAATTATCTGAGTCAGCCCTTGGCCTACTAAACTCTCATATAGGAATAAAGATAAAGACAATAAACAAAAACAAAACAATTCTCAAAACAACAACAAAAAACATTCACCCCTCCCTGAAGAAGGAGTCCCCCTTTTTTTGAGGTTCCTACTCTAAAGATGGAAGAGCCGGCTGAATAAAAAAAAGTCAGATTTTCCCAAAGCAGCCAATTTTCCAGGTTAGAGACCATGTTGCAAAATGTAAGATTATCCAGTAACAATTCACTATCCTTGTGGCTATGAGTAAACACAACTGCTATGTAAAAACTTATATAACAATCTTGCCCTTTTACCTCTGTCCCTCTCCATACCTGGTTATATTAATTTGGGAGAAAATTCGCTCAGCTAAAAATAGATAATCTTGGATACTGTGGGATACTGTTACAGCAGGAGGAGGCAGCAATAAGGGGGGTTTGAAAGAAGGAATAGATTAATTCCTGGGTCCAGGCCTGCCCCATCCCCACCTTGGATCTAGATCCCCAGTCAGGGTGGTCATGGCACAAGGAGTCCTATGGAAGTCACTGAATGTTCCTAAGGCATTTTGTTTGGCTTTGCCAATCCCAGCCTAGTCTGGTCCGCTCCCCTTGCAATGGACTGGAGAGAGGGACTCACCACAGGTTGAGCATTTTCAGGCAGCTACAGAGTATATAAAGAGAAAAACACAGAAAGGAAGAGAGAGAAAGAGAGAGATATTAGTCCACAGAGGTGAGATGAAAGCGACTCCCTGTGAGCCATGCAAACATGCAGTATGTGTCTGTGTTTAGTTTCTTCTGTCAAGGTAGGGTGAGTAGGCCCAGGCCACTTGGTCCCTACGTTCAAGTGGAGGGTTCGGACAGGAGCCTAACAGAAGCATGAAGGTGGGAGCTGGATCTCAGGGGTAAGGCAAAACAGAAAGAGTTGGGGGGAACTCCAGGGTGGCTTTCCTGGGCAACTTCTAGGAAGGCAGCAGGGGAAAAAACAAACGACCTTCCTGTAAGAACTCAATCAAGCACCAGGGGTGAACCATTTTTGTTCCCACATGAAGTCTTACTGTGCAATATTAAGCTAACTTCCCAAATTTTCTGAGGGAAAAAGAAAGTCCCTAGCCTTTGTACAAGTCCAACATGCCTGATTAAAGCAGCTGGCAGTTAGCTCTTCCTCTAGAGAGGGAGAAAAGGTTTAAGCGACGCTTACTTTATCTTATTAGAAGATGAATCAGAGGGAGGAGGGTCACTGCTCTGTATTAAGGTGTAACTACCAGAGACGGACCTAAATTCTACTCTTGTTAACCTCAGGAGAAATGAGGTTCACATTTGTTAAATTATAGCTGAAGTCTGGATAATCAAAAATTCCTGTATTATAACAAAAAACAATCAAAAAGCTGCCTGCTCTTACCACCCTTTTAACCATAAACAAGGACATATGTCCTGGAGCTAGAGAAAAAGGGAATTCAAATGTTCATTTTGTACATAGAACAAAACCCAAGACCCTGTTACATCTTTCCACCCTTACACTAAACAAGCTGGGTGAGGAACCCAAAATCAAAAGCCTGTAAGTGAAGGTTTCACACGGTCTCCCCAGTACTGAGGTGCGTCTCAATATAAGCATCAGCCCCCTCTACCCCACAAGCAGGCTGCATGAACAAATACATCACAGCTGCGTGCAATGAGGGGCTGTTTGGAACACCTCGTGCTTCTCTAGCTGTGACTTCTTCCCATGAAAATGATCAACCAGGTGGACATAGGGCTACCTTTTCCTTGCCCCCCCACACAAAGGCCAAGAAGAATAACACATGGCTAGGCCCTGACAGTTCTCTGGGCAAGGTGGATTGGTAGCCCATGAAATCACTAAATCCCCTAAGCCATGAGCTTTGGGATGACATATGGTCAAATATAATTGCTCTCCTATGCTTTCTACACCTTTCAGAAGGTCCACACCTGAAGCTGGTGGCAAAGAGGCACACCTGTCCTTTTTGCTAAATGACAAGACTTTAAACTCTCCTTCCATTCTAGAGATTAGATTATACCAATACAGAATACACCAGACTGAAATCTCTGTATGAATGAGCCCATATCTTACACACAGAACACAAATACCACACTCACATACACAATTAGTATACACATTTACCAAAATGAGATGAGATGAATGGGTTCAAAAGATAAACCTACATAGGGCGTAAGACTAAAGCCCATTTGATTATTGCATTCAAAGTATATTGTTAAATCCAAAGCTAAACTTCTAGCCTCCAAAGTAACAGCCACAAATGTGAATTGAGAATGGGGTGGGAGCTGGGAACAGGTATGGCCATCCTTCAAGCCCTGACACTGTTTAGATCAGACCATGCTTAGTACAGTAGTTCTTAACACTGGCTACACATTAGAGGGACGTGAACTTTTTTTTCTTTTTCTTTTTTCCACTGCAACATCTACCCAAATGAGATGACCTGAACTTTTAACATTCTTGATGCTCAGGCCACATTTCAATAAATTAAATCAGAATCCCTGGGGCCAGACTCAGACATTTGTATTTTTTAACGTGCCCTAGGTGACTCCAAAGTGCAGCCAGTTGAGAGCCCAGAGGGTGGGAGTAACATATTGTTTATTTAAGAGAATGTAATTTTGTATGAAAATCGAAAAATTGTGAGTACCATTAATATCTCCACAGTCCCTGAGACCAGAAAGCATGTTTCCTTACTAAAATGGTCTTTTCCTGGCAGATTCAGCATAACCCTCACCGCCTTATGTATCAGTGCCTTATACAAGCTGGGAGAAGAGCTCTGAAGCTACCTATAGTTAGCAGGGGCTCAACAAGAGAGAGTCAAGTCATCCTCATTCACTTTTGATCTATTAGGTAGGAGTCCTCAAGCTGTGGTTTTCCAAGCAAAAAACTTTTTTTTTTTTTGAGACAGAGTCTCCTCTGTCACCAGACTGGAGTGCAGTGGCACAATCTCAGCTCACTGCAACCTCCGCCTCCCAGGTTCAAGCAATTCTCTTGCCTCAGCCTCCTGAGTAGCTGGGATTACAGGCACATGCCACCATGCCCAGCTAATTTTTGTATTTTTAGTAGGGACGGGGTTTCAACATTTTGGCCAGGATGGTCTCTATCTCTTGATCTCGTGATCTTCCTGCCTCGGCCTCCCAAAGTGCTGGGATTACAGGTATGAGCCACCATACCTGGTCAAAAACTTTTTTTTTTTTTTTTTTGGAGACAGGGTCTCACCTGTTGCCCAGGCTGGAGTACAGTGGCATGATCACAGCTCACAGCAGCGTCGACCTACCAAGTACCTGGGACTACAGGTGCACACCACCATGCTCAGCTAATTTTCAATTTTTTTGTAGAGATGGAGTCTCATTATGTTGCCCAGGCTGGTGTCAAACCCCTAGACTCAAGTGATCCTCCTCCCTTAGACTCCCAAGTGCTAAAAGTACAGGCATGAGCTACCACACCTGGCTGGAAAGGACTTCTTGAAGGCAAAGTGAGCTCATCGAAAAGATTGGCAGGGCTTGGCACAGTAGTTCATGCCTGTAATCTCAGCACTTTGGGAGGCTGAGGCAGGAGGATCACTTGAGCCTGGGGAATAGAGGCTACCGTGAGCCATGATTGTGCCACTGCACTCCAGCTTTGGCAACAGAGAGAGACACTGTTTCAAAAAATAAATAAATTTTAAAAATGGGCATGAGACCAGGGAAATAGGCAGGAAAGACAACAATACAAAGTGTACCTGGAAGGAGGAAGAATGCAGGTCTCAGTGCCATCTCACTAACTTACACTCATAGGTATAAGCGGGTTCTGGCTTATATTAAGCTACTTGGGGGCTCATGAGACTACTTAGGTACAATATCACTATAAATAGGTTGTCTGCTCAGAAAAAAAAGATGCTGGGATATCTGAAGGTTCTCAAAGGGCTCACAAGAAAGGTCCTCCATATCAGGGCTAGCAGCAGTTACTGACTCATGGTGTCTCTATCTCTCCCTACCTGGTATCTTCTTGGAGTCTAAATCTGGATCTAAATTTGGGATGGGGGAAAAACGGGAAAAAAGTGGTAGAAATGCTGCTTTTGCAGCAGAATCGGCAGTTAGTTCACCTTCCACCCCAGATTTTAAGAGTTTAAACACAGACCATGCAGTGCACCAAGGGGCTGGTGGTAGGGGTAGGGCAAGACATACACATGCAAGAGAAGCAGAAAGGGGCATGGGGCAACCTCCTTACCTTCCTGAGATTAGTGTGACTTCCATTCTTTCCCCACACTCTCATTCACATGTGCAGACTATAATATTTTTCTTGCCTAACTTAAGTCTCTCTGAAGCCAGAATCATTTGGGAGTGAACAAAATGGCCCTGAGATACTTGTTCCATGACTGTAATTCCAGTTGTTGGCCCACAATCAGAAATCGAATGCTATTCAGCACGGCCCATGATTTAACAGCAGATTTTTCTCTATATCCCATACAGAGCAAGAAGCTCCACAGCCCCAAGAGGCTCATGGCTACTATCTATTGTAGCTCTGATAACATGATTCTTTCGGTTTGCTGTATCTTTTTCATGTGAACTAGAAAAATGTGACTTGTCTTCCCTGAAATCACAGCTAAAGAAGGGCAGCAGCAGCCTTAAGGTACCATGCAAAAATTAAAACAGTTAAGGAAGAAACCTGTGGTTACAAGCATGAGGAATCCAGTCTGAGATGAGCAGCACACAGAGAGGAAGAGACAGAAAAGATTTTTCAACTCATGACTTAAGAGCCCCCTTGAAAGATGTACGTACTTAGCTTCCTCCACTACCTCGACCTCGGCATGAGCTGTAATTGGTGCATTGGAGTGGGCTCCCGTGGGATCATCAACATTCAGCTCTCCATTGGTTGAGCTAACCACCTGAAACAGAAAGACAAAGTGTGTGACAGGCACCATGGCAATAGAAATCTCTTGCCAGCAGCAGACAAGGTCCCTAAGGGAGATCTGGTTTCTAGCTTAGGCACTAAACAGGCAGGGTCTGGAATTTTTTTTTTTCCTGGGTTAAGGGATCAATTTAGGGAAGGTTCCCAGGCCCGTATCACGTGAGAACACTAAAATCAATGATGTAATCATATAATGTTGATAATAACTTCCATACTGAGACCTACTCTGTGTGTCAGGCACTCTGCTACATTGTGTAAGTTTAATCCTTATAAATCTTATGAAATAGGTCTTTTTACAGATGGAAACACTAAGAAATGACTTAACCAAGGTTTAAAGTTAATATCTGTGGAGTTCCATGAGGAAAATTTTTCTAAAAAAATTTCTAAAAATTTTTCTATAGATTCTTTCATATTGCAAAAATATACACATTACTTTATTAAGTTAAAAATAACTGCAGCCAGATGTGGTGGCTCCGGCCTATAATCCCAGCATTTTGGGAGGCCGAGGCGGGTGGATCACGAGGTCAGGAGATCGACACCATCCTGGCCAACACGGTGAAACCCCATCTCTACTAAAAATACAAAAACTAGCGGGGCATGGTGGTGCATACCTGTAATCCCAGCTACTCAGGAGGCTGAGGTAGGAGAATCATTTGAACCAGGGAGTTGGAGGTTGCAGTGAGCTGAGATCATGCCACTGCACTCCAGCCTGGCGACAGAGGGAGACTCCTTATCAAAATAAATAAATAAATAAATAACTGCATGGCTGACTTCTGAAGGTAAAAATCACTTGGCTCCCTTGAATATGATGGGTGAAGTCTACATCTCTCACTTTATTATGCTATAATTATATAGACTCAGTGATGATATTGAAAGAAAAAGTTCTACAAAGAAAGTCAACCGTGGGCACCAGAAACTATAAACACCCTTTCCTTCAGAAGTTTCCTCATGGCTTTGAGCATTGGTTTGAAGTTACACAAATAACAAGACTGTCACATCCTCTCTGGCAAGAGGGAAGATGGTAAAAAAAAAAACACTCTCCCTTGGAAAGCCAGTCTTATTTCAGTTATCTTTATTTCAGGTTCACTGTCATCCCACTTGTCACTGATGGTCCCCGAAATGTAAGTGATGGCTGTCACTCCTGTCATCTGGTTAATGTGGACCCGATCAGGCTTCTCTTGCTTGTGTAGCTGCTTCTGCCACCTGGTTTCATTTCCAGCACATGACTCCTGTTTATGTAGGTGCTGGGAAGTGGGAAAAGGGACCCCACTGCTGGACAAACCACTCTGCTGTTAAAGACCTTGGCTGAAACATGGGAGAGAACCACAAAATAGGATGAACAGTTTGGATTTCATACGCCCTTGGATAAGTACTTCCATCTATTTGAGATTGCTACTTATAGGTTGATGAAAGAATCATACAATAAAATGTATGAGACTGTCTAGTATAATACCTAGTATAAATAAGGGAAGCAGCATAGTGTAGAAATTGCCATAATCAGTCCTCAGTTTGAACCCCAGCTCCACGCACTTACTTGCTGTGGGTCCTTGGGCAAGATTTTCAATCTATGCCTGAGCTTCCTAATCTGTAAAATGAGAGAACAATGCTGCTTACCTATGGTGTTTACTGTGCAGACAACCCACAGAAAGTGCTTAGTCCAGTACCATGAGACATGGTAATAGCTCAATAAGTGGTCATCTTACTGTTACTCTCTGTCTGTAACTGTCTATTCTTATCTGCCTCTAGCTCAGGAGTCCTCACCAGTAGTTAATCCACAAAAGTTTCCTGATTAGTCATAAAGAGGAGGGTGGGAGGAAATATTTAGTACAAGTAGCTTCTGGGACAGATAGGGTGAATATTACTAGCAATCTATATCCATCATTATTTCTAAACAAGAAATAATTACTGTTCTCATTAATAACACTTTTTTTTTGAGACAGAGTCTTGCTCTGTTGCCCAGGCTGGAGTGCAATGGCACGATCTCAGCTCACTGCAACCTCTGCCTCCCAGGTTCAAGTTATTCTCCTGCTCCAGCCTCCCGAGTAGCTGAAATTACAGGCATGTGCCAATGTACCACCATGCCTGGCTAATTTTTGTATTATTATTATTATTTTTAGTAGATATGCGGTTTCATCATATTGTCCAGGCTGGTCTCAAACTAATGACCTCAGGTTATCCACCCACCTCAGCCTCCCAAAGTGCTGGGATCACAGGTGTGAGCCACTGTCCCCAGCCTTCGGCTGAATCTTAATAAAAGATTTTGGTTTTTAAACATGGGGAGACTTATAGATTAAAAGGGATTAAAAGAGACTAAGACATTGAAAAAGACTGATGAGGTATACTGCATTGGTTAAGGCAATGCATGAACCCTGATTAAATCCTGGACACTACAATACTAATTCTGGGACAACTGGAATTAGGTGGAATGTGATATGGACTGTATATTAGATATTATGAAATTAACTTTCTTAGAATGTCTTTGTTCTTAGAAGATACAGGCTGAAGTATTTTGGGATAAGGTGTAATGATGTCTTACTTTCATATGGTTTAGCAAGCAAACACACACACACTCTTTCACATAATTAAAGCAACTATGGCAAAATCTTAATAACTGGTCCAATGAGGTTAAAGATATATAAGAGTTCATTTCATTGCATTTCCCTCCCAATTTCTCTGTAGAGTTGAAATTTTCAATACAAAAGTTGGGGGAAAAAACAGCAAAAACAAAAAGTTGAGCGAAGAGGGAATATGGATTGGAAAACCACAGCTCCTCACTCTAATACTATCCTGTTAATTTCCTCAGTGCTTCATTTGCTTCCTGTGGACATATTCTGGCTACACACCAGGGACAATACTGGTTAAGATCATTCTGTGAGCACAAGGGTTACAGGGGAAAACAGTAAGTTTCCAGTGGACAATTCAGGAACTAGACAAGATGTTCAATAAAATGTCTTGGCTTCTACTCACACGAATGAAACATTAGTAAGCATCACCACTGAGAATTACCTGGTGACTCTGGGTCATGGGGCCTGCTCACAGCATTTCACATGGCTTATACTTTCTAATTTCTCCTCGCTATGAATTGCCATTTGGGCCATAAGCACTGTCCTTAGGCAATCTAAGGAATAAGAAGTTATCCCCATTTTACAGACTAGACATCTTGTCTGTATCAATAAGCATCTGGTCTCAAATGAATGAGGCATAAGTAGAACCTCCAGTTCTCTACTCTTAAACTTAATTGTATCAAAAACATACCTAGGACTCAAAGGCTACAAATCTGGGCCTTTATAGCATCCACTTAATTATTTCACATTGGAGGTCCAGTATGTCAAACTACTGAACGGCTGCCTGGATGTGCAGTGGAACAAACACCGTGTAAATGAGAGAAGAGTTGGATTCTAGGCTTTGTTCTATAATTAAAATCCTCTGTGAGCCCTGTTTTCTAATTCTATTAAGACAAGGCCAATGGCCATAATCCTATCAACTTCATAAATATGAAGGGAATTAAATACAATTATGTTTAGAAAAGAGATTTGAAAAATTATAAAGCATTTTATGAATGTAACAAAGTATTTTTGTGTTTTTTCAATTTTTAAATTTTTTTTGTTGTGGGGAGATAGAGTCTCACTCTGTCACCTAGGCTACAGAGCAGTGGCGTGATCTCGGCTCACTGCAACCTCTGCCTCCTGAGTTCAAGTGATTCTCCTGCCTCACGCTCCTGAGTGGTTGGGACTATAGACATGCATCACCACACCTGGCTAATTTTTGTATCTTTTAGTAGAGACAGGGTTTCACCATATTGGCCAGGATGGTCTTGAACTCCTGATCTCAAGTGATCTGTCCTCCTCAGCCTTCCAAAGGGGTGGGATTACAGGCATGAGCCACTGTGCCCAGCCGTTATGTTTTTTCTATTAAATTTTTAGTATAACTTAATTATAAAAGATAATAAAAATTAAGCTTCCTTATAAAAAGCTTTATTTGTGGCTGGGCAAGGTGGCTTACACCTGTAATCCTAGCACTTTGAAAGGCCAAGACAGGCAGGCTGCCTGAGCTCAGGAATTCACTCACCACCAGCCTGGGCAAGATGGTGAAACTCCATCTCTACCAAAATACAAAAAATCAGCTGGGTGTGGTGGCACACACCTGTAATCCCAGTTACTCAGGAGGCTGAGGCACGAGAATGGCTTGAATGCAGGAGGCGGGGAATCCAGATCGTGCCACTGCGCCCCAGCCTGGACAACAAAGTGAAACTCGGTCTCAAAAAAAATAAATAAATAAAAATAAAGCTTTATTTGCATATTCAAATAGACATTTATTTTGCTTTAATCACTATTAAAATTAATCCCTCATTACTCTGGGTATACCAAACAAGACCAATTAATATCTTACAGCATTACCCATGAGAAAGACTAAGGTAAAGGACTGTTTTGACATTCAGACCTGATAATATCCCTTTTAGGAGTCTCAATAATTTGAGTTATTAGTTTCATTTCTCAAAATGTCACCGTGAGGAGAAATCAGAGCTGTGTGTCAAAGGAAACAGTACTTTGACTCATGTGTCATTCTAAGTTTATGTCTTTACTTAATCCTAAACATTTCTAAAAACTCCCTCCCTAAACATTTTAATTTGGACAACTTTAGAGGAATCTTTTTGAAAGGGAAAATACATTATCTTCTTGCATTTAGGCCTTCCACATGAAAAAGCTGAAAGATCTGTGGAAATACTGGAAGGATGAGAACAATGGGGGTCTGCCCATTAAATATGTTGGAACAGGAGTTTCCATGTGCCTTATCAGAGCAAACTTTTCTTAAATTAGCATTCTGCACTCCCTCCCAGAGTCATGGTGCCTGCAAGTCACCCAGGCTAGGCCAAGCATGATTTTCATTATCTCTGGCAAGTGAGACAACTCAGAAAATTGTGGACATCTGTTGTATTAGGAAAGTACTGTTAATTTGGTTCGCAGAAGGTATAACTTT